GACAGAGAGAGAGAGAGACAGCAAGAGCAGGAACACAAGCGGCGAGGTGGCGGGGGCGCGGAGCAGAGGGAGAAGCAGGCTTCCTGCTGAGCAGAGAGCCTGATGTGGGGCTCGATCCCAGGACCCTGGGATCACAACCTGAGCCGAAGGCAGATGCTTAACAAGTGAGCCACCCAGGCACCCCTCCAATATCCTTTCTTGATTAAAACACCCAACAAACAAAAAATTCCTCAACCTGAAGCATCTATGAAAAACTCGCAGCTAACAGCACACTTGATGGTGAAAGAATAAATGCTTTCCTTCTAAAATCAAGGATAAGACAAAGATGTCTGTTCTTGCCACTTCTATTCAATATTATACTAGCAGTGCTGGCTAAGCACTTAGGCAAGAAGAACAAGCAAAAAGAATCCAGAGTGGAAAGGAAGAAGTCAAACTATTTCTATTCACAGATGCACAATGTTGTATATACAAACTCCGAAGGAAGGAAGGAAGGAAGGAAGGAAGGAAGGAAGGAAGGAAGGAAGGGGAATACAGGATCAATATACAAAAATTATTTATATTTTATATACTAGCAATTAGCAATCCAAATGTTTATAGTAGCATCAAAAATAACAACTTAGGAAAATATCTAACCAAAGAAGTCAAGACTTGTACCCTGAAATTTATAAACATCAATGAAAAAAATTAAGGACCTGAACAAATGAAGAGACATCCCATGTTCATGGATTGGAAACCATTATATTGTTAAAATAGCAATATTCCCTATAAACACAACACAATCCCTATCAAAATTCCAGCTGTGTGTTTTGCTGATTATAAAATTCATACGGCATGCAAGAGACCTCAAGTAGACAAAATGATCTTGGAAAGGAACGGAGATGGGGCACTCACACATCCCAAATTCAAAACCGAGCTATAGTAATTAAGCTATGATAATCAAGATAGTGTGGTACTGGCATAAGGCCAGACATATATATCAATGGAATAAAACAAAGTCTGAAAATAAAGTCTAATATTTACAGTCAATTACTTCTTAATAATGGTGCCAAGACCATTCATAGGGAAACAAGTCTTTTCAACAACTGTGCTTGGACAACTGGACATCCATATGTCAAAGAATGAAGCTGGACTCCTACAATGCACAATAGGCAAAAATGGTTGAAAGACCTAAAACTATAAGACACTTAAAACAGGTATGACTTGCAGTAGGTAATTTTTTTTCTTTAAAGATATACCAAAAGCACAAATCACACACACACACACACAAAGAGAGAGAATTTGGACATCACCAAAATTGAAAACTTTGTGCTTCAAAGAGCACCGTCCAGAAAGTGAAAATACTATCCAAAGAATGGGAGAAAATATTTGCAAGTAATTTATCTGGTAAGGAACTTGCATCCAGAAAAAGAATTCAGTAATAAAAAGAACCCAATTAAGAAATAGGTAAAGGATATGAATAGACATTTCTCCAAAGATGAACAAATGGCCAAAAGCACATGAAAAGATGCTCAACCTTATTAGCCATTAAGGAAATGCAAATCAAAACCATTAAATACTTCACTCTCACTAGGATGGCTAGAATAAAAATGTCAGTAATAAGTGTTGGCCAGGATGTAGAGAAATTGGAACTCTCACACACTTGTTGATGGAAATGTCAAATAGTACAGCCACTTTGGACAAGTTTGATAGTTCCTTGAAAGGAGTATGCATACGACCCAGGAATTTCACTCCTATGTACATAACCAAGAGAAATAAAAACTGATATCCACATAGAAACCTGTACACAAATGTTCGTAGTAGTAGTATTTATAATAGCCAACAAACAGAAATAATGCAAATATCCATCAAATGAGTGAACAAAAAATGGTATATCAATAAAATTAAATATTATTCAGCCATAAAAAGAAATGAAGTACTGATACATGCTACAACATAGATGCACCTTGAAAACCTTGTTCTAAGTGAAAAATTAGACAAAAGGCCACACACTGCACGAATCCATTGGTATGAAATGTCCCAAACAGGCGAATCTATAGACAGAAAGATTAGTGATTACCAGGGGCTTTGGTGTGTGTTTGTGTGGGGTATTGGGGAGACTGTTGAAGGGAGAATAAACAGTCACTCCTAATGGGTACAGGATTATTTTTTATAGTGATAAAAGTGCTCTGTTTATAATGGTGATGATTGCACAATTTCATGAATATTCTAAAAGCCATGAATTGCACACTTCAAGAGTGAATTTTGTTATGTGGATTTTATCTTAATTAAAGCAAAAACAAAAATGAGGGAAGTACCCCTCCTCCACTTTGAGGTGGATGAGAGAGGTTCAACTCCTGCAAAAGCAATCATTATCTCCAACCTCTCAATGGACTCCTTTTAATTGGCAAATATTGAGCGAACCTATCTCAGTCTGTCTTGCACCAGGTTGCCTAGCATCTATATCTCAACTTCACTGAATCCTAATAACCAGCAATGAGGTGGGCTTGGATATGATAATCCAAGCTGAGGGAAGGGCAGGGCCAGGACTGAGGACCAGAGTCATGACACTGAAGTCTGCACTCTTGACAGTTGCGTACCAGACACATGCTTATCCCATTTCCTATGGTTTCCTAAAGACCAGAAGACAGCTAGAATGATTATTCCAGGTGCTGTTCAAACGAACCTAAGAATCCTGATTTGAGGGTTGATTTGTAGTAATGGTTTTGAGGTTCTGGATAAACAGGCATTCATTCATTGTGGTGTTTCATTTAGTATAAAAAACAGTGTTTGGCAGAGGACTGTTCCTTGATAGACATGAGGGGCTGGCAATCATTGGGTGGTGCCTGCCCCTATCTCCACTGAGAGGAGTGTGGCCACAGACAACGTGGCTGCACAGAGGTTCCTGGTTGTGAGAGCACATCCAAAGGGTAGGGCTGGGGAAGTCACACAATCTTGCTCTCAAGGACACCTGTCCTTTTCATCCTTTCCCTCTTACTGTCTTTCCATGGGTTGGAACAGTCATTGATCCAGGGGAGCCACTTCCTCAAGAAGCAAGTCCTTTAGCCACAAATATTTAAATATTTAATAAAAAAACAAACTTTTTTTGTGTGTGGGGGGGAAGTGTGGGGGAGACAAGGAGAAAGAGGCCATCTTTAGTGAAAAAACAGGAAGCTTCATTGAACATTCTATTGCATGCTGAGCTGTTTTCAATCACTCAAGAGGTTACAGGCTGGTGGAAAGATGATTAAAAAAAGTCTTTACTATGAATCTGCTCACATCCTGGTACTCCTCGCTGTTTTGTAAGGAATGTGCCCCACAGAGTTGAACTACCATGGCAAGTGTGGGTTGCTGTGAGGTTACACAGGCACTTGGGGGTCCATGTTGGTGGTCCATGAAGTTTTTTATGGGTGCTTTTTAAATTTTGATTTGGAAGGGTACTTGAGAGATATGAAATAAGCACAAGTGAAGACGTTGGGTGGAGATGCAGGGAGAAGTGCCTGTAACAGATGGCAAAATTGGAAAAGCATGTGGCGCCCAGTTTATGGAGGGCTTTGGATGCCAAGCTTGAAAAATATTCAAAGGGAAGCAAATTTTGAAGCAGAGGATATTAAATTAGCAAAATTATTTTAGCAGAATGAAAAAGATTGGAAGTTACAGTCAGGGCGGTTAGTTAGGAAGCTATTAAAAGCAACCAGGTGATTCAATGGACCAGGACCTGAAAGGAAGCATGATGAACAACTCCGGAGATTGGAGGGGAAAGGAATTGATAGGTACAAGCTGTGACAACTGAGGGATGAGGGATTTCGAGGACTAGGTTGAAAGTGATCCTGTTAAGGAAGAAACAAGTAACAGTAGGTAGAGACGCAAGATGAAGTTCTGGTATTAACTTTGAGGTACCAGAAAGATTATCCTGGGGATAGGGTCTGAGCAAAAAGGAGTGGTTGAGGTTGACCAGAGAGAATTGGACAAGAACTTTAAGTAGAATTATAGTATCCATCCAAGATCTGGATGGTATACATCCAACTGAAAAAGGAACAGAGTAGCAGCCAAATTAAGTTCAAGGTGTTGGCAAGGTTTAACAGTTCATACTGGCAATTGAAAAGGTTGTGAGTATTCTTCAGGAGAGCATTTTCAGTGGCACAAAAATGGATTAGCAGCATTTCTCACAATGAGACACCTACATCAAAATCTTGCAGTGTTTAACAAACGCGAACCTACTAGATTTGAACAGGGAAGGGGGAAAAGTCTTGGGACTTGGAATTTAACAGTCTTCCCCAGGAAATTCTTTATAGACTAGTAACACAGAGTAGAAGATGAGAGGGAGCAAATAGAAGTTTCTTTTTAATTCTTTGGTAGCTCACGGAAGGGGTGGGAAGGGTAGATGATCAAGAAGCTGGTAGAGGTTAAAAAAAATGTGTATGTATATATATGAGAGGGGGGAGGGAGGGAGAGTGTGTGTGTGTTGTGAGAGAGTGAGCAGATAAGGGGATCAAGACTACAAATAAAGTAGTCTTAGGAAAACAATCCTTCTAAGAAACTGTTATGAAATTCTTGAGAAAAACCCAAAACGGGGACTGAAATCCCAGCAGTTGTGTTCTTATGGGAACAGGGAGTGATGTTGCTATGTCACAACCAATGAATGAATATCAGCAAGTTCAGTTTGAAGCCTCATTTTCAAGGTTTTGTTTTTTGGATATTTATCTCCCTACACAGGTATGCATCCCAAAATAAAGCTAGGGAAGCTGTAGTTGTACTTTATCACACAATTAACAAACCTAGGAGAGCAGTATATAGGGTGAGGAAATGCAACTCATTTGCTGAAGCTGCCAGGCTCCAGAAGAGTTTGGCAGCAGGTTGTATTTTTATGTTGCATGTTTTAAATTTTCTAAAATAATAAAATGTAAAAGAAAGTTTCTATTTCATTTGGAAAGCTAATTATTTTAGTTTATGGTTCATTTTTTCCCCCAGAGCTTCCTGCAGACTGTGGGCTGATTCACAGATAACCAAAATATGTAAGAGTGTACAGACAAAAAAGTACTTTAATAATAAGACATTTAGGGTAGAAGTAGTCATAGTCAAAATTTCTGTTTTCCTCTTCCTTGAGATACTGTTCAATGGCATTCTAGTAAACAGTAGTGAACAGGAGGCAATGGTAAGAGAAGTGGTAACATACCCAGGGTAATTACTAAGAGAGTGAGAGCAGCTAGTATGGACAACCAATGACTTTTTCTCTTAAAATATTTTTAAGGGCAGGTTTATTTTGAACTGTTTGTTAAAAGTCTATCTGATGTGAATTCTATATCTGATAACCTATACTCAATTACCATTCACAAACTTCATACAGATATGTTAATACATTTATAGAACTTCAATACTGTGATAATAGAACTTGAGAACTGAAGAGCACACATTTCTTCACGAATTTATTATATAAAATGCCCCCAGAGTATTTGATTTCTCTCCTTCTTTCATTATACACAAGCACATGGATGAGACGCTCTTTAAGATGACTGTAGTATCATGAGAGTCCCTTGCATCAAGGTAGTGTACATACCTTAACAGTGTTCTAAAGGCTGGCCCAGAAAACAACAACAACAACAAAAAAGTTACCTTATCACAAGATGGAAAGCACTATTTTCTTTTTCCTCTAAATTATGATGAAAAATGTCACTGTTTTATTTAGCATTATGGTACATAACAGATCTGTCTCAATTACTAAAATAATTAAAATAATCCTGAAAGATATCCTTTTTCCCCTCCAGTGATTTGAAAAACTGTATTTTTCCTGCCAATTTCAAACAAATCATCAGGTTGATCTATCGTAGTCTGTTAAAACAATCATCAAAGCACAAGCTCAGCACATTAGCTGTATGTAGCTTGTAGTAAAAGGATATATCCATATGTCTCTCCTTAGTTAAAAATACATAATCCTTTTATTTTATATTGCAATAAAAGAAATTAACATCACAGACACAGAAGACTAGAAAGGGGAAACTACTTACTTCTGAATGTCCAGTAATTTAAACCTATTTGTACTTTTCCACAGTACATGAAAGTAATATTTAACACTTCCTTTTTGAAGTAAAACTTAATCTTTGGGGATATACAATGTAAATAGGACTTAAGAGTAATAGTTCTACTCATTTCCAGGTCTGCTTAATGTATGATTAAGTAAAACAAGGCACAATAGCCATCCTTTCCATTATGTTGCAACACTGATCATGTGCCTTGATAAAATGGCTGATTAGACAAGATGATGGCAACATGAAGGGAAGACTTTGGATTGTCTATTTAAAATGCAGGTAATAAGTAATTAATAAAAAATTTATTTTAAGTGCACTTTCACATGCTTTGCGTTTATAATAAACAAACTTCCTAGCTTTCTTGCAACAGGCTTGACTACCATTTCTTTTGGCCAAATGCACTTTTCCCCAGTAAACTTAAAACAACAACAATAACAACAACAACAACAACAACAAAATAATCCCTGTCCTTTCATAAACTAAGAAAGAGGATTGGCTACTGAAACAGTTCATTCCAAGACACATGAAGACGACATACTGTGGCATGAGTTGTTTTTAATTTGTTGTGCTGTTACTAAAGTTCTGAGGGCTGCAGTTAAAACATTCCAAGTTCTCCCTTCCATCTTTATTGATTTCAAGATTTTGCACAGAAAACTCTTTGGGGACTAGAACAGCAGCAATTGCATCACACTGTTTTCAAGACTTCAAGTTTCAAAGCAAATTGTTTAAAAAAAAAAAAAAAAACACAGTTCCTGATTTGAGTTAGATACAGGGACGAAAATAGCACATACTTGAAGGTTACACAGTCTACAAATGGTGGCAATATTTTCCTTGGGAGAGTAGTTTTGTTGGTATATATTTTTTAAATACTCAAAAAGGCTCAACCTCAAGCAGTAATAAACACAAGCAAAAGTGATTTAACCCTTAAAATAAATATTCAGAAAAACCTCTCTGTACATACAAGTGAAAGAATAAGTAACACTTTCACGCAAAAAAAAAAAAAAAAATAATAATAAAGGATTTGTTCATATAAGTAGCTGAAATCTGCTGTTCCAGCCCACATATCCCCAATAAAGAAGGGAGGCACAGACATAGGTGACTACTGTGGTTCACTATCTTACAGCCTTTTTGTACTGGGACACTATCACCACCAATTTTATCCTTCTTGTTATATTTATTAAAATTTTAAATTTCTTTTTCTTTTCCTTTTTTCTTTTTTTCTTTTTCTTTCTTTCTTTTCTTTTTCTTTTTTTTTTTTTTTTTACAGCATGCCAAATCCTTTGGCGTAAGTGATGGCCTTCAACAATCTTTCTTTAAGTTTTTCTTTGCTTGAATATTCCGGCAGTAAAAGGACATTAAAGCAAGTATGAGATGTAGGTAACCTAAATAGAGAGGGGGGGGAAAATAGGAAAATAAATTGTGGACAATGTGCTCAGTATTAAAAAATCCTACTTTTAGATGGTATGTATAGTTGAGATGGTTTGCAATGCAGAGTACAATTAATGCAACTCATAAACTTTGTTTTTCCTGTGCAACTACCAAATATCAGTTTGTTTTTATCTTATCTATTATTCAATACTAATGATGATAAAGATGATGACTGATGATAACATATTGTATCCACCGAGTTATTATGACATACCAGATACTGTTTTAGGTACTCAACTGTTAGATCTAACTAAATCTTCTCACAATAAACCTATCATTATCCCCACTACAGAGTTGACATCACTGAGAAGTTAATTTACTCTAGGATGGAGACAATACTCAAACCTGGTTTTCAAGATTTCAAAGTCTGTGTTCTTTAATGCCAGTTACACATATTCTTGGCAATATGATTATATAAATGACTTAATAATAAATATAAATAAATTTACATTAAAGCCATTATACATCAAATAATGTGGAATACTAATAGAAATATTTCTATACATTTAAACCCTTTAATATGCTACTATTCAGGTATGATCCTTACTCAACAAAAACATTAACTTATACAATGAAGAGAGAAAATTAAATATCAAGATTATGAAATTGGATTCAAATGTTAAGAAATCTAGTGCTGAACAATTTTCTGAGCCTCAATTTAACCATTCTGAAATAGATTACATAATATGGCTTTTACAATTAAAAAAATTCTGAACTAAAAACTGAGTATCAATTTGCAAAATTCCAAAAGAAGTGAGCCCTATAACAGTTTTGGAGTAGGCCAGTGTTTTAAAAATTTCAAACAGCAGCAGCAAAATATTCTCTGAACTACTAGTTCATGTGATTTGGAGAGTTCCACATAAAACTGTAAAAGTATACTCAGAAGCTCCTGGACAGCTCCCATGTGTGTGATATGGAATGTAAGGTTTTTGGTATATAGTCACAACTTAATAATTACCTTTCTGTGTCTGGGCCATTTTTGGCTATAATCATCTTTAATTTTCCTAGTCCGCCCACAGGTGCTCTGTCTGTGCCTGTTGTAAACTGCAAGAAAAGTCTTTTCTGCTCATCTGTAAATGAATGAACGATTTCCCAGAACTCCCTAATGAGAAAAGACAGAATACTGATTTTAGTTTGGCATTCATTTATAACTAGTACTAGTATGAGTTTATGATTTATTAAAACACAGAGATAACTTGGAAGTTAGTATCAGAAACCCTAGACATTCATTCCTGCTCATCAAGGATCTACAAATTACTAATGCAAATTTATCTTACCCAAAACACTTTTTAAAAGCATAGTTAGTTCATGGCAACATTATCTAGAACAGGAAAAACTGGTAAACTGAAGTGTCCAAATAACAAGAAATAATTATGTAAACTATGGTATATTCATACTATATAATCAGTAACGAACAAAATACAAAATACAAAACCCAAATCCTGTAAAGTGAAAATATGAGATTTTTGGGGGAAAAGGTGATACAGATTAAGGACAAAAAAACCCCCCCAAAAACAAAAAACAAAAAACACACATACATGCCTAAGAGTAGTAATACAAAAGCATACATTTTATATATAAACCAGAACACTTGTGATTTTGTTTGCTATGGAAGTGGGGATAGGGGATAATTCTGATATTTCTGCTATATGTAATGATTTAGTCCCTGGCATTCCTAAAATTTATGTGATAAAAGTCATGTTGTTATAATGATGCTTGTTATACTCATTCTAAAAACAAAATGCAGTTCATTAAGAGCAATCTTGGCATAAGTGTCTGAATAATGAGGTATCCATAAATTTAACATATGCACTAATTCTCAGCTAAAAAAAATTCAAGATTTTAGAAAAAAATTTAAAAATGTTAATTGGTCAAAGAATACATTTTAGTATTTATTTGAAAAGCTCTTTCCAGAATCTTGGCAGAGAACATCACACTTCCTACATGTGTAAACAATTTCTATTATTAAAATGTGGGCATTTTTGTTGGTGCAATACCAATACTTCTGACAGGGTTAGCAGCTTTATTAGACTTCCTGGCTCTCCTTCAATGTCTTCCCACTTCTTTTCCCTGACATTCTAACATCCTCCTCAGTTCCTGCAAACCTCCCATTCACCTAGAGAAAACAATAAAGAACTACATCATAACAACAGGAAATTAGACATGGAACTTGTAGGTTCATCTTTCACAGGAAGAACTAAAATCATTCCACAGTCTAGGTCAATCTTATTGGGTGGCTGACAAGAAAAAGTAAGTCTTCTGTGGCTCAGAGCTCTCTATCAGGGCAGAATAGCTCCCCAGCAAATGGGTGGTAATCAAGTCTTCTCACACTGTAGGAGTGCTCTGAAGCCTAACTGAACCAGCCACACCTGAAAAGGATAGAAGGGTACCCTGACCAGTCTGTCTACATTATTTACTTACTTGGTTCTTTCTAGAATTTAAAATTAGAATTTAAAATATTGGGCTTACTATCAGTTTACATAATGAAAACACTGAACAAAATTCATCTCTTCCTTTAGGTGTTTTGTTCTATATTAAAATTCTGAATGCAACTATTTAAAAAACTGAAAAAAAGCTTCTGCATTTCTACATAAGTGGTAGCTTCATGAATCACATCCCATTTACATCTCCTAAAACCTATTCAGATCAAAAAGGAGAAAATCCGATAAAAAACACCCATAACCTAAGCTTAGATTAAAACTAGGAAAACAGAGTGGCAAACTCCCAACTGACATGTAAGTTGGGAGTATGAACACCTGAGCCCAAACTAGCAGAGTCCTACAAGAGCAATATGAAGACAAGGGTGTGCAGAATAATATGGGTTAGAGTTCACCCCTGAAGGGCAGAGCCCCACCCCAAGAGTGAACTACTAAGGAAAGGTAAGAGCACTGGCAACGGGGTGGCTAAAAGGGTGGGCCTTGGAAAAGTACCAGGGTAGAAATGACAGGTAGGCATGATGCCTGGAAGTGATGGGGGGAGCACTTTGGGAGGCAGAGGTGTCCCTTGAAAGTAGCTTCTGGCAGCTATAAAGGAATGGAAGTAGCTAATTAAAGAGGCCCTAATTAAACAAGATGGAACTGAAGAATCAGAAGGTGCTAGGCCACATAACCACATATTAAAGAAATTGCTGTTACCATAACAACAGAAGAGAGGACCATTCAATCAAGAGACCACTAACTCCACCCAAACTTCTCCCCACTCTACCATGAGATCTACTAATAGCAGGTCCATAAAAACTCAACCAATATAAATATAAATGGGAGAAACAGAATTCCAAAATCCAAATAAAGATATTATGAAACAAGTCTGGCAAATAAATAAGAAGCTAAACTGTCTAGCAGAAAAAAGTATAATTGAAAAATTAAGTCATGAAGAATGGAAAACCTGTAATTCCCATATTCCAGCATGAAGAGAAAATGCAACAGCAGATAGAAAAGAACACCAATAATCACAAATACAAAACTCAGAAATGAACAAATCTGAAACATAAATGAGAATACTCAAATATACTCAAGAAATATGCAAAATAAATTTGGAAACAGAAGGTTAACTTACAAGGTGACCAAAGGAAAAGCAGTATGACCAAAATTTCTAGTAGGGACATAGAGATCAGAAACAAAAGAACAAGAAAAAAATATATATATTTGGAACATATATATGGAATAATCCATGTATGAGATGATTCACTGTGACATTACTTCTCATAGCAAAAGACTGGAAATAAACACTATGTCCATGAATATTAATAATCTATACTGCTTTCACACAATGACAGTATTCAGCCATACAAAAGAACACGGAAGATAACTCTACACTGATATGATTTCCAGGATATAATGAAAAATATTTCCTCGCTCTGTCCCCCGGAAAAAGTCTGCATGCACTAACATTTAATAACAAAGGTCATACCTTGTACCCCAAACTGACTTTTAAAGATGCCACTTCCCCAATAATTTCTTACAAAAAAGGCTTATTTCAAGCCTAGAGTTAAAAATGCTCAAGGTGAGCTAAAAATTTCAAAATGTAAAATGAAGTGATGTTAAAAGCATACCAAGACTAATCAGTTTGAGTATTACTAAGAATAATGACTGTGAATCACACTCAATATATAAAAATCCATGAGTTCAAAATATTCAGAAAGAGGCAACCCCCCCTCCAAAAACAAAAAACTAAAATCCAAACTCAACTGTCACTATTGAAATTATTACATTAACTCCTTATTCTAAAATATTTAATTACATTTTATTGTGCCTTTTCAGTAAAACTGTTTTACACAGTAATCAAATAGCAACCACTGATGAGGAAAAAGAACAGCAGGTATATGTAGAATGAACAGAAGAAATTTTTCTTCCAAATCACCATTTTGCAATCCCCAGGGAAACAATGGATTCAGGTAAGGATATTAATGGATACAAAAAATCAGAAGAAACACAGATTAAGAGGTTTGGGGAAGATGATGGTGGCAGTGATACAGTTATTTTGTTTTTGCTTTTCTTTTCAATCTCCCTAATCTCTCCCATAAAACCAGAGCTAATTGGATGGGAAAATGGAAGACCTATAGATAACACCTTCAAAACTAGGTGACAAGATATCCCCCCACAAATCCTTCCATGTAAATGAAGAGGAACACACCACTGATAGCTAGAATACCTGGTTGGTACCTTTGTCAGTGGGTGAGGATGCAAAAGGAAGGCAACTGGGTTTCTTATAGTCCTGGGAACAAAGGAACCTCAAAACCACCAACCCACTGGAAAGCACAGGCTAATTTGAAAAGACAGCTAAAAGAGTTATTCAATTTGTAGGCAAATGCAAACGGATCATGATATAGTAAAGGCTCTGGGCCCGTAAAGCTCTTGAACACCAAAATTCCCTTTTAAAACTGAGGGGAAACTGCTGGAAATAAGGTCCAAATCCACCAAATCAAGAATAAAAAGGCCAAGAAAAACTCAAATAAATGTGGGAAAGGAGAGTAGAACAGGCAGTTTCAGAAAACACAAGGCTAGGGCGCCTGGGTGGCTCAGTTGGTTAAGCGACTGCCTTCGGCTCAGGTCATGATCCTGGAGTCCCGGGATCGAGTCCCGCATCGGGCTCCCTGCTCGGCGGGGGGTCTGCTTCTGCCTCTGCCCTCTTCCCTCTCGTGCTCTCTGTCTCTCTCTCTCCAATAAATAAATAAAATCTTTAAAAAAAAAAAAAACACAAGGCTATATATATGTACATTTTTAAAAAATCATTTTGCAAAAACAAAAACAAAATGCACAGAGCTTTCCCGAAGCATGAAAAAGCTGCCCTGGCCTATCTCTCCCTCTTCCAAACGTGAGAAAACTCATCTCACTTAAAAAAAAAAAAAAAAAGGCACAACAGAAAAAGATCACAAACACCAAAAGAGTTACTAGAGAGGAATAATACGTGTGCGTGCACGTAAGAATGATGTCTCTATAGAGAATAAAATTACACCGAGAGATCTGCCAACAAAACATGAAAATTGTAACAAATTTCAAATGAAGCTAAAAATTTTTAAATAATAGTAGAGGCTATGAAAGGACAACTAAGTCAGAAACAAAATTTCAGAACAAGAGTAATTAATTAAAAGGAAAGATTTTGGAAGATATGACAGAACTAAGGAATAACTGGAAATAAAAAGAAAATAAATCACGTCAAATTGAGGGAGCTAAAACTAATCTAGAGAACCATAGGACAAATTAAGCACAATGATATCATCACAGAAACAGAAGGTAAAAAACTTAAATTGAATCAGGAAGAAAAGAAGCCATGCCTGAGAGTCTCCTTCTCAACCCAGAGACACAGCTGGCAGGGCATTTCTGCCACAACCGGTGCTGGCCTGGTAAGTGCTGCCCTTCTTGTGGAGCCTCAGAGTCCCTCCTAGGCCAGAGACACCGAATGGCCATCAGCACCAGCAAGGGGATCCTGCCACAACAGGCACAGAGCCCAGGAAGAGCTCTCCAGCCCCATGGGCTTGAGACACCATGCAACTCCGCCTGGAGAAGCTGTTCATTTCACCTCCCTCAAGCAACACCATCATGGACCACAGGGAGCCCCCATGGAAGGAGATAAAGCAGAGCAGAACAGTGCCAAAGGCTCTGA